AGTCCCAGCTACTCAGGAGGCTGAGGTGGGAAGATTGCTTGAGCCCAGGATGGTCCAGCCTGCAATGAGCCATGATGGCGCCGCTGCACTCCAGCTAGGGAGACAGAGCAAGACCCTGCCTCTAAAAACAAAATAAAATATAAATATGAGTTTTTGTTGCTTTGTGCTGTGTTGGTTTTGGTGAAACTGAAGACTTTTTTTTTTTGTAGTATTAATGTAGTACCCATCCAATTGCTGACTAGATTATGGTTTGAAATACTGGTAGTGTTTTCATTCAATGGTATTAAATAAACTTCATTTAAAAAGAAATTAGTATAAACGAGGCACAGAAAGACACATACCACATGATCTCACATTTTTTTTATCTAAAAAAGTTAAACTCATAGAAGTAAAGAGAGGATGATGGTTATTTTTTTCTGTAGGGGTGGGAATGAGTTGTTGATCAAAGGATGTGAAGTATCCGGTAGACAAGGGGAATAGGTTCTGAGATCTATTGGACAGCAGGGTGACTACAGTCAATAATAATGAATATTTAGAGAAGCCAGGGAAACGTAGTGAGACCTTGTCTCTACTAAACATCAAAAAAACTAGCCAGGTATGGTGGTGTGTGCTTGTGATTCCAGCTACTTGGGAGGCTGAGGCTTGAGCCTGGGAGGTCAAGGTGACAGTGAGCTGTGATCCTAACAATGCACTCCAGCCTGGGTGACAGAGCTGCCACCTGTCTCAACAAACTAAACCAAGAGTAAATTTCAAATGTCCCACCATAAAAAAAAAAGATAGTTTTTTTAAGTGCTAGATGTGTTAATTAGCTTGATGTAATCATTCCACATTGTAGACATATATCAAAACATCACATTGTATCTTATAAATGTATACAATTATAAATTTTTTTTCAAAATAATCATAATTTAAAAATTACTAAATGTTGCATAGTTTCTATTTTTTTGTTAACATTATAAACCATATTTGTACCCATTACAAATTGCAGCTATTTTTTTTTCTTGAAAATCGCATCCCACCTTTAATGATTTGAAACATGGGACAGTTTTTTTGGCACCTGAATACATGTCGTAGTACTTAGGTTCTTGGCTCTTTCACTTTTTTTTCACATGATCATGGGCAACCTCTTTAACCTTGATGGCAGTCCATGAGAAAACATGTACAAGTACCTAGTCCAATGCTTGGCATATGATATAGGCACTCAACATCTGTTAAAATTGAAGTTTAACTCATATTAAATAATTTCTATTTTTTAGGAGTTACATACTAAGTTGTAGTATCCTCTTATTTGACATGTAGATCTGGAAATATTTTTTTCATCCAAATGAGACTAAGCAAAATGATGTATTATCTGAAAACACTGAATCAAATGGAATAGTATAGTGCTCTTTTTTTTAACCCGCAGATCACAGGCAATTTTTTTATTGAAACCACAATATCTTTTTAATAGAAAAATGCCACAGCAATTTTTTTTTTGTCTAAGCAAGGACTTTGCCTGCTGCCACAAATACCATGACAAACTTTTTTTTTATGAGAAGCAATTAATGAAGAGGATATGATAAATAAAACATGAGTTGGCCAGAATATTTTTACTGATGTCTTCTCATTTGATTTCCTGGTATAAGATGGTCAATTTATCACACCTATAATCCCAGCACTTTGGGAGGCCAAGGTGGGCAGATTTTTTTAGGTCGAGAGTTCAAGACTAGCCTGACCAACATGGAGAAACCCCATTTCTACTAAAAATACAAAATTAGCCAGGCGTGGTGGTGGGCGCCTGTAATCCCAGCTACTCGGGAGGTTGTAGCAGGAGAATCACTTGAACTCGGGAGCTGGAGGTTGCGGTAAGTCGAGATCATGCCATTGCACTCCAGCGTGGGCAACAAGAGCAAATTTTTTTCGCTAAAAAACAAACAAACAAAAACAGATAGTCAATTTAACTATCATTTTTTTTGAAAAGCCAATGATTGTAACACTTAAAATTTTGGTTAATAAAATTTTTTTTTTTGTGACTTCATGTGTGAAGGATTTCATCTGCTACTAACAGAAGTATTTTTTTAAAATCTTTATACTTGTAAATGGTCAGTTCATTTGTCAAAACACATTTTTTTTTATGGTATTTTCGAATTTATAACTTGTAACATTTTAATCCAACTACTTTTTTTACTTGAACCACATTTTTAAAAATAAAGATAATCAAGAATGATGAAGTTTTTTTCACTCAAGTTCAACTGCTGGATCTGGGATGTAAAATAAGTGACAAATTTTTTTAAGGTGTTGAGTTTTTAAACAGCAAATTTTGACTTTATTCAAATCATTTTTTTAAATTTTTTTTGTACTTGGTTTTTGTATTGTTCTTTTGTTTATTTCTTTTTTTAGCCAACATCATACAAATCACATTCTAAAAAGAAAAAAAAAAGTATTTTTTTTTATAATGAAGTTAATTTAATATGTGCATTTATCAAATGTGTCAATGGTATTCTTGAAATAAAGGCATAAAATCTTCAAAATTAAAAAAGCTATTTGGACACAAGAAGCTGAACTTATTGACAAAGGAAAAAAATACATTCAAGTTCCCAGACTTTTTTTTTAGTTATTGCACTATTGTTAGGGATAAAGCCTGATTATCATCATTTTTTTTTATTGTGAGACAGAAAACAACTCATGTATTTTCTTCTAATATGTCTGTTTTTTTTATGTACAACTTTAAATCTCAGCTAATTAATTAAAAACTATCCAGAGTGACAACACAGTAGCTTATTTACTTTTTACCACTGCAGAACATTTGGAAGCAATATTTACTATAAGTCTGTACAGACTTCATAATCCACCTCGTTGAAAATAAGCTTTTTTTCACTTGTAGAGAAATGTAGGAAGATCCGTTAGTACAGGATACACCATTTTTTTTAAATATAACCTCAGACACAACTGAATTAAATATACAGTTAAGTATTTTTTTTTTAACAACAGGATACATTTTGAGAAATGTGTCATTAGGCGATTGTCACTGCCCAAACATCTGAGCATACTTACACAAACCCAGATGGTATAGCCTACTATTTTTTTTGGCTATAAATATAGCCTCTTGCTCCTGGGCTACAAACCAGTACAGCATGTCACTTTACTGTAGGCAATTGTAACACGATGGTTAAGTATTTCTGTATCTAAATGTATTCAAAACTAGGAAAGGTACAGTAAAAATACAGTATTAACTTCATGGGACCACCATCATATATACAGTGTTTTGTTAACAGAATGTCATTATATATCAGACAACAGAAATGTATTTTCAGGAATAGAATATCTATTGCTAGATAATATAAATTTTTTTAAATGTTGTGCTACTGCATTCCAGCCTGGGCAACAGAGACCTTATCAAAAAAAAAAAAAAAAAAAAAAAAAAGCTTTATGATAAAAAAATTTCAAACATAAAAGTAGAAAGAATGGTAATAAATACTCCCCTTTTACCCAATACCTGGCATCAATGATCATCAGCCCACAGAAAATGCAACAAAACTCTGGCATCCAAAGACAGTCTGCTGATTTTACATTATGAAAAGTTATTTTTATTAAATACTCAATACTCCTTGGTCAGTACTTATTTTCTTACTGAAAAGCAATTACTATTTGGCAAACATTTTCAAAGACAATACCTAATAATACCACATATCTTACTGATATTTTCAGCATTTTTTATGAACTATATTTATAATTACAGGGATTTCAACATTCCAACTTATCCAAGGGTTCCAAAAGACATTATTGTTAAAGGCAGTAATCACCCTAGGTACTACATGCTCCCAAAATTTTGTAACATATAGAAAAGGACATTATAATAGAAATTTTGAAATAAAATAAAATCAGAGCTACTGTATTGTTATATCTCACTTCCTGACTCAAGCTTATACAAGCTTTATGGAGGTGTACTTGAAATGAATTGCACATGCGTATCAACAGTTCATTCCTTTTCATTGCTGAGTAGTATTCTCATATGTGTTCCATTGTATTCCAGTTTATTCACTTGATAGGCACTTTGGTTGTTTCTAAATTTTGGTCATTACAAATAGAGCTACAATGGACATTTGTCTTTGCGTGAACAAATATTTCATTTTCTCTTGGGTAAATACCTAGAGGTAGAATGGCTAGATCATATATATGATAGATGCATGTTTAACTTTACAAGAAACTGTCAAAGTATTTTCTAGTGGTTGCTACGTTTTGCATTCTTCATCCTTGGCAATATTCTTTGCTCTAGAATCTGCTTTGTCTAATAATACAGACATTCTAGCTTTAATTGGTGTTACCACGGTATCTTTTTTCAACCTTTTAACCTATTTGGGTATTTACGTTTAAAGTGTGTGCCTTATAAGAGGCATAAAATTGGATCTTGTTTTATCCAATGCAACAACCTCTAGCTTTTAACTGGGATGCATATATAGCCAGTGGTTCTCAACTGAAGGCAGTTGTATGTCCCCTGCCCCTTTTCCCCCTCCCCCCACAAAAGAAACAGTGGGCAACATCAGGAGTTATTTTTGGTTTTCTTTTATAACCCTTGAAAAAAGGAAAAAAAAAACAAAAAACTTTCTTAGCCTGCAGGCAGTCAAATAGCAGCTTGCAGACCATGGGTTGCTGGTCCCTAGTGTATTTCTACCTGCCTTACTTAACTTCCTTTAACATTTCTTGTACTACACATCTACTGATGAATCCTTTCAGCTCTTGTCTGAAAAAGTATGCTGCTTTTTTATTTCAAAGATATTTTCTCTGGGCATAGACTTTTTTTTTTTTTTTTGAGACCAAGTCTCCCTCTGTCGCCCAGGCTGGAATGCAGTGGCGTGATCTCAGCTCACTATAACCTCTGCCTTCTGGGTTCAAGTGATTCTCCTGCCTCAGCCTCCTGAGTAGCTGGGATTACAGGTGCCCACCACCACACCCAGCTACTTTTTGCATTTTTAGTAGAGATGGGGCTTCTCCATGTTGGCCAGGCTGGTCTCAAACTCCTGACCTCAAGTGATTTGCCAGCCTCAGCCTTCCAAAGTGCTGGGATTACAGGCGTGAGTCACCGCACCTGGCCTGGGCACATAATTTTTGGTTGACAGGGTTTTTCTCTGTTCTGTACTTGAAATATGTTGCTCTACTGGCTTCTCAAATTGTTCCCTTTAAGAAATCTAACTTCTCACCTTTGTAACTATTTCCAAGTCACTTGAAAACAGTACCTTTTTGCCGCTAGTCCATTTAAGATTTTATCTTTATCATTGGTATTAAACAATTTGATTATGGTGTACTCTGGTTTGGGTTTTTGTGTAAGAGACAGGGTCTCTCCACGTTGCCCAGGCTAGTCTCAAACACCCAGCCTCAAAGCAAGCCTCCTGCCTCAGCCTCTCAAAGTGTTGGAATTACAAGCATGAGCCACCACGCCTGGGTAGTATGGGTTTTTTATGCTTCTTGTGCTTGGAGTTCATATCTTCTTGAATCTGTGGGTTTATGGTTTCTATCAAACTTTTAAGCTATCATTTCTTCAAATACTTTGTATGCTCCCTTCCCCTACTCCCATTACACACTAGGGTGCTTAAACTTGTGTACAGCTCACTGATAGACTATTTTTTTGGTGTGACTTTGATTTGTTTCTATTGCTATGTCTTCTTCAAACTCATGAATCCTTTCTTCCACAATGTGCAATCTGCCATTAATCCCACACAATATGTTTTACATTTCACACATTGCAGTTTTCATCTCTAGAAGTTGGATTGGCATCTATCTTCCAGGCCCCTACCTAACTTTTTGAACATATGGAATACTGTCTGAATTCTAACATGTCACTTTTTGTCTCATTATGGGTCCTATTTTACTGCTTATTTGCATCCTTGCTAGTTTGGAGATGACACTGTGGATTTTACCTTTCTAGGTGCTGGATGTTTTTGTATCCCTATAAATCTTGAGGTTTGTTCTAGAATTCAGTTAAGCTCCTTAGAAATAGTTTGATGCTTTCAGGCCTTGCTTCAGGCCTTGCTTTAAACGCTTGTTAGGCAGAACAGGGACAGTGTTCAGGCTAGGGCTGTTTCCCACAACTGAGGCAAGACCCATTGTATGTACTCTACCCAATGCTCCATGAATGAGGCTTTCCAGTCTGTCTTGTGGAAACAGCCAATATTCCCAGCTGTCTCTGAACACAACACAATTATAGTCATGTGTTGCTTAATGACAGAGATATGTTCTGAGGAATGCACCTTTAGGTAATTTCATCATTATGTAACCATGATAGAGTCCTTACACAAACCTGGATGGCACAGCCTACTACACACCTAGGCTATATGGCACTGCCTATAGCTTCTAGGCTACAAACCTGTACAGCATTCAGTTACCATACTGAATTTGTCACACATGGTATTTTTGTATCTAAACATACAAAAGGTATAGTAAAAATACAGTATGAAAGATAAAATGGTATACCCGTAAAGGGCACTTACCATGAATGGAGCTTGCAGGACTAGAAGTTGTTCCGGGTAAGTCAGTGAGTGGTGAGTGAATATGAAGGCCTAGGACATTATTATAACACTACTGTAGACTTTATAAACACTGCACACTTAGGCTTAAACACATTAAATTTACTTTTAAAATGTTTTTCTTCAATAGTAAATTTTTATTTTATAAACTTAAAAAAATTTTTTTTAATTAACTTTTTGACTCTCTTGTAATAACATTTAGCTTAAAATACATGTTGTACAGCTGTATAAAAATATTTTTTATATCCTTATTTTATAAACTGTATTTAAAACTTTATTTTTACGAGACACAAATACATACACATTAGCCTAGACTTACACAGGGTCACAATCAACAATATCACTGTCTTCCACTTCCAGATTTTGTCCCATGGGAAGGTCTTCAAGGGCAGTAACATGCACAAAGCTGTCATCTATGACAACAATGCCTTCGTCTGTAATACTTTGAAGGATCTGCCTGAAGTTGTTTTACGGTAAACTTCTGAAAAAATGTATAAGTAGAAAAAGTATACTCTAAAATAACAATAGGGCAGGTGCAATGGCTCACACCTGTAACCCCAGCACTTTGGGAGGCCAAGGTAGCCAGATCACTTGAGCCCACAAGTTTGAAACCAGCCTGGACAACATGGCAAAATCCCGTCTCTACAAAAAATACAAAAAATTAGCCGGGCATGGTGGCACGTGCCTGTAGTCCCAGCTACTTGGGAGGCTGAGGTGGGGGATCACCAGAGCCCAGAAGGTTGAGGCTGCAGTGAGCCAAGATTGCACTACTGTACTGCACCCTGGGCAACAGAGTGAGACCTCATCTAAAAAAAAAAAAAAAAAAAAAAGATAATATTATCAGCAAGACAGTAGACCAGCATCACCACAGACACATAAGACATCATGATTGAGATCTATGACATCACTAGGTAGGTGGTAGGAATTTTCCAGCCCCATTATAATCTTATGCAGTCCATCATTGAACAAAATGTCTTTATGTGATCCAAGACTGTACTGTAATATTTTTGGATGATCCTTTCCTTGGCCTCAGGTCATTTCCTCACATGCAATGGTCAATACTTACCTGAAGAATCAGGAGAGATTCATTCCAGACCATGAGAATTCTCTCTCTATGCAGCTTTCTCCCTTCTAGCAAACTCTGGCTGCATTGGTCTCACCAGGCTCTGGACTCTATCAACAGAGGGATTCCACCAGGCTGATATGTTCCTCTCTCCTTGTACTATGGCTTAGAAATTCTCCCAAGGCACTAAACTGAGGCAAACATAGGACTCACTTTGTTTCCTGTTGATCAAGCTTCACTGTCCTTCATTGCCTGATATCCAATATCTTAGAAAACATTGTTTTATATATTTTGTCCATTTTTTATTGTTTCTGGCCTGTCTCAAACTTTTAACCATTACATGCCAGAACAAAAATTGATGCATTCAAGAAAAAAACTGGATAGATTTGTTTTCCACCACTCTGAATCAAAAACTGATTTATACTTGGTGCCTGAAGAATAGGAAATATTATAGCTTACTTCTTTGTAAATATTAAAGAATGATTATGAAACATCAAATGTATATATTTTTTTAAAACTTTCTAGCCCTATGTCATAATGATGTATCATTCTTTTGGAGGAAACAGGATTGTTCATTGCTAAGTAGAATGAATGTAGTAACAAAGAAACAGAGTTAACACTGCACCAGGTATGTGAGAACTGCACTTGAGATCCCAAACTGAAATAAACTTATGAATACATAGCACACTCATCACATTAAATAAAATGTTCCCCAATTTTTATTATATTGTTATTTATCTGGGATTATTTCTCCATTTTACATTTAAAAATTAGTGAAATTATATGTAATCATAACTTTTTTCCTTACAAAATAAAGTTATTCATGAAACTTTCATTTTAATCTTAAAACCTTTTCTCCTTATCAACTCATTTCTTTCATCTTAGAAGATTATCAATGTTATTTTTTTTTGTTTTTTTTGAGACAGAGTCTCGCTCTGTTGCCCAGGCTGGAGTGCAGTGGTGTGATGTTGGCTCACTGCAAGCTCCACCTCCCACGTTCACACTATTCTCCTGCCTTAGCCTCTGGAGTAGCTGGGACTACAGGCGCGTGCCGCTACGCTCAGCTAATTTTTTGTATTTTTAGTAGAGACGGGGTTTCACCATGTTAGCCAGGATGGTCTCGATCTCCTGACCTCATGATCGGTCACCTTGGCCTCCCAAAGTGCTGGGATTACAGGCATGAGCCACCATGCCCGGCCAGTTATGGCTTTTAATGATAAATTAATTTGTCATATACCTACAATCATTGTTTGCACAAATTCCCATCAGTTCACTAGGAATCACAAGAAAAAAAAGCAGTGCGTCTGCCACTACAAAACACTTTATGCATCAAACAGATTAAGCAACCATAAGGTATTTCTGTGATGTCTAACCAGGCTTGTAGAAGACTTTTCCACATCATTGATTTTTTATGTTAAGTCACATAACTTATAGAGGAAAGCTACCTCCCTCTAGTTTTCACTTCCTATATTTTGTTCCATAATTCATTTTCTTCAAATTAAGATTAATTTACACTTAACATTTATAAGACAAGTAGAAATTAACACGGGAAGCAAAGCATACTAGTATCTAAAAATGAGGTGAATAAGTACCACAAATAAAAATTATTTAGAACTAAATGACCAACTACTATTATAGTCTATAAAGATTTTCTTGCATTGTTCCTATCCTGGATTTACCAGGCTTCAGGCTTAGATCCTATCTAACCCCTCTAACTATTGCTTTCAAACTTAAGTTTCAGCTACCACACAGGAAGTGCAAAAACAGAACCACTCAAGGAGATGAACCTTCACTATGTCTTAACTTCTCAGTCACAAAACTCCTATTCTGTTTTTTGTTTGTTTGTTTGTTTCTTTTTGAGGCGGAGTTTTGCTGTTGCTGCCCAAGCTGGAGTGCAATGGCGCCATCTCGGCTCACTGCAACCTCTGCCTCCCAGGTTTGAGCAATTCTCCTGCCTCAGGCTACCAAGTAGCTGGGCTTACCGGCGCCCGCCACCACGCCCCGATATTTTTTTGTATTTTTAGTAGAAATGGGGTTTCACCATGTTAACCAAGCTAGTCTCAAACTTCTGACCTCAGATGATCCGCCTGCCTCAGCCTCCCAAAGTGCTGGGATTACAGGCGTGAGCCACCGCACCCGGCCAAAACTCCTGTTCTAGTTGAATAGGCAGAAATGCTATTCTGACTACATCAAACAGAATTCTTTCTGATCCACAGATATCAAAGGTTTATGAGACAAAATTTTAAAAGGGGCAAAAGGTGAAAAAGAGCCCTACTTTTACTATTAAATTAGCTGTCTGACCTTTGGCAAATACTTAGTTTCTCCATCTAAAACCAGAAAGGAGGTTAGAGGAGATATGACTATAGCAGAACACGGCTTATGGAAATTATGCATTATTGCTCTATAATCCTTAATCCATATATATTAGGACACTGTTTCGAAAATATTATTGAAGCCTTTAACCTCCTGGTATGATGCAATAGGATGTTTATAAACTACCACATAAGTAGTATTTTTGCCCTTGCGCCCAAGTAGTCAAACCTGAACCTAATCAAGCACCTAAATTTTACTATTAGTTTACAGAAAATAAACATGAGAGAATAGGTTGAATGATTGTATGAGGATGGAAACAGCCAGATCCTGAATATGGGAAATTCAATCAGACAAATGACCTAACCTCTACAACAAATAAATGTCAACAAAAAAAAGGGGGACTCTGTTATATATTAAGAGAGACAAAGATATATCAATAAAATGAAATATGTGGACATAGTTTAGCTTCTAATTCAAAGAAACAAGTTTAAAAACATTTTTTGGCAATAATTATAAAAATCCTAACACTCAATATTAGATATTAGATAAAAATGTTACAGCGTCATACATTTCCTTCAAAATAGTTCTGGCTGACAGAAGGGTAGAGTGCGTGTATATGTGAATGAGTATTACGGTAGGGGGAAGGGGGGGACTTGATAATGGTTGGAGCTAGGTGTTGGGTTGTTGGGTTCATTATACAATTCTTTACTTTTGTGTATATTAAAGTATGATTTTCAATTCTATTAAGTACACATTACCTAATATATCACTAGTCCATGTTAAGGAAATGAAATTCTCGAAGCTAAGAACAAAATCTTAAGAAAACAAAAAGACAAAAAAAGTAGTCACTAACAGCCCAATATAATTATCTAACAAATGATATGTTCTATATTTATGAACAAAATAAACCATGGAAAGCATACATGCAATACAACTCCATTTATATTAAGGTCAAAAAGAGGCTTATTTCGGATATACCGCTAGACAGCCTTAAAACTATAATAAACTCTGAAGACAAGCAAGGTAATAGATAACATGAAATTCAAGATGATGGTTTCCCCTGGGAAGGAGGGGAAATATATTCACAAAGGAACACAAGAGGCTTAAAAGATACCTTTATGTTATGTTTCTTAATTTGGATGCTGGGTATATATGTTCATCTTATTACTCTTCTGTGGTATAATAAAAAAATATATTTATTCTTTGTCCTTGGTTCCTGGAAGAAAGCTCCTAAAACCCTTACAATTTCCTGATAGGAGGTATCTTTTATACTTCATAATGTATCCCTTTCAGTTATACCTGAGTTTATGTTAATGAGATGACTCATAAGGGTTGGGAGATAGAGAGGGACCCTAGGTATCTTCAGGATGGAGGTTGGTTACCAGAAAAACCAACTAGGTATTTATAGGACTGAAACTTTTAGCCCATCTCACTATCTCTGACAAGGAGAGAAGAACTGGAGACTGAGTTCAAATAAGTGACTAGTGATTAATGATTAATGAATCATGTCTGATCAATGAAACCCCATCTAAAAACTTTGAAACCATCTGGCTTAAGGGGCTTCCAAACACATTAATGTGCTGGGAGGGTGGCACACACAAAGAGGACATGAAAGTTTTGCATCCTCTGTCCCCCATACCTTCCCCGATGTGTCTCTTCCATTTGGCTGTTCTCGAGTTGTATCCTTTACACAAAAACTGTAGTAGTAAAATAGCGCTTTCCTAAGTTCTGTGAGTCATTCTAGCAAATTATCAAACCTGGGGGGTAGGTCATGGGAATGCCCAAATATGGGGTCAGCCTGGAAGAAGTCCAGGTAGGTTGGGAATACCTGAGACTTGTGGCCGGGCATGTGAAATGGAGGCAGTCTTGTGGGACTGAGCACTTAACCTGTGGCATCTGTGCTAACTTCAGGCAATTAGTATCAAAATTGAATTGCATTGTAGGACATCCAGCTGGTGTCAGGGAATTGCTATTGGAATGATGTATCACTAAATGGGTAGGTGGGTGTGTTTCATACACACTTTCTTTTCTCATAAATGACATATTTAATAGGAATAATTCAACTACTGTGAATTTAAAAATCAAACAAAAAAACTATGGAGTTGCACATACTTTTTAACTTACGGGACAAGTCATTATTCATAGGTCTTAAGTCTCAAAAGAGGCAGGATTGCCTGGATTCTCTCATTTGCAATTTTATCTTTCAATCAAATAAGAATGGCTTCATTAATTTTTTACACAAAACATTATCAATCTGGGCATTTTCTGGCTTATTTCCCAATAACTTACTCAGAATTTGGCACATCAAAAACTTCATTGCTGTTTACCACAGTACTGAAACAAAAACAAACGAAAACTTATTCCCAAGTGGCATTATAACAACTGCTTGATTTTCCCCAAGTTCAGAATGAAGACTTTAATAACTCAAAAGGGGCTACAATTCATGCAAACTAAGAAAAGCTACAATGCTACTTTCATGCATAGGTATACTAAATACACATTTATATAGTCTCAAAATAGTCCTTGTCTGAAATATTTGCTAAATAACAAGAATGCAACAACTTTTTGACCAAAAAAAATGATCTTTTGCATTCCTTCCTAGGTAGGGCATTAATTTATTTACCTAAAATTGGTTTCTTATAATTTTATTTTAAATGTAAGCTACTATTACCTAACAAATTAGCTTTTAATTATAATCTTATTTTAGCCTACAGAAAAATATGTATAAGGTCCTTTTGTTTGAAATGTCACTGTCTTCATTTTTCTCTTTATCTTCCTTCTGTTTGGTGAAATGACATAACAAACTGCTGCAAATTCTGTTTCTCACTCTACTGTTGGTTCGTATTTGCAGATCATCATAGCTTAATTGATACAATGAACAAATGCCTCTTAAAAAACTGTTTTACTGGCCAGCAGAAATAAAAAACAAACCCTTCACAAATTACACTGATAAAAGTCTCTGTCCCTAACACTATCATAACTCTCAAGAATCTTAACAATTTCACTCTCACCAGGCTGGAGTGCAGTGGCGTGATTTCGGCTCACTGCAACCTCTGCCTCCTGGGTTCAAGCGATTCTCCTGCCTCAGCCTCCTGAGTAGCTGGCACCACATCCAGCTAATTTTTGTATTTTTAGTAGAGACAGGGTTTCACCATGTTGGTCAGGATCTCCTGATCTCATGATCTGCCCGCTTCAGCCTCTCAAAGTGCTAGGATTACAGGCGTGAGCTACCGTGCCGGGCTAAAATCTCTACTCTTTAATAATTATTAATTATCCATCCAGTAGAAAAAACTGAGAAAAATAAACCTGGGTAATATTTACCCAAGTCTCTTGTTTTCGAATTGCTTCTGTCATGGAGCAAGGTGGCACAGATTTTGATCACAAGAGATTTTGATTTTTCTAAACATCCTTGAATCTATCTGGAGAAATGTGCTACAGGTACAGTTTAGGAACAACAACAAAAAAAGAAAAAACCCAACACCCAATGGTCCCAATTCAACACTGCTTTTTAAAATTAAGCTATCACACAACGATTTGTTTTTGTTAAACATTTTATCATTCTAACTCATATTCCCAAACTTTTCAGGATTTTACTTATCTATCAAAAAATCCCAATTATATTCCTGTTCTTTCCAATCCCACACCCCCATCCCCCACAAAAAAAAAGCAATACCTCTCATGCTCTTCTCTGCCGATAGGAGTGTAGAACGGATCACTCCATGAAGGGCAATTGTAAATATCTATCATATTTGCAAACACATTTCCTCTTGGATCCAGCAACTCTTTAATTCTTTTCAGAATCTGACAGTTACCCCTGCAAATGTAGAAATGACATGTATTCACTGAACAATTGTTTCTCATATCTAAAGACTGGAAACAACGTCAAGTGTCCACCTATGTGTGATTTACTGTATAAACTGGAGTATATCTACAAAATGGAGTATGTGACAGAAAAAATAAGTTTAATTGAATACTGATAAGGAGGAATATCCAGAATATACAGTAAAACGGGGGGGAAAAAAAAAAACATGAACAGTGCAGAAAATATTGAAGGACAGACCCAGCGAAATGAGACTGTATATTCTCATCTGCTTGTATCTCTGCATGAAGACCGGAAGGATAAATAAGAAACTAATTTAAAATGATTACCCGTTGAAGACTATTAGAAATGGTACTGTACAGAGACTAGGAAGTGTTTCTCGCGGCATTTCTTTTCATGTAGTTTGAGCCATGTAAAATAAATATTTGCTAATCTTTTGATTAAAAGCTTTAAAAATCCAGTGGGAGAGGCTGGGTGTGGTGGCTCACCCCTGTAATCCCAGCACTTTGGGAGGCCCAGGCAGATGGATCACCTGAGGTCAGGAGTTCGAGACCAGCCTGGCCAACATGGTGAAACCTCGTCTCTACTAAAAATACGAAAATCAGCCGGGCGTGGTGGCGGGCACCTGTAATTCCAGCCACTCGGGAGGCTGAGGCAGGAGCATCGCTTGAACTGGGAGGCGGAGGTTGCAGTGAGCCGAGGTTGTGCCACTACACTCCAGCCTGGGCGGGAGTGAGACTCCCTCTCAAAAAAAAAAAAAAACATCCAGTGGGAGAATCAAAATTTTTAAAAAATTTGACTGTGTAATCCTACAAGAAGTAAGTAGCTTGAGGAAGAGAAATGCTGATAAAGTCGCATTAAGTTTCAGAGTTGAAATTCAAGCTTCGGTATCTAACATTTGTTTCCCTGTTTCTTTAAGGTAGAATTACAAAAAAACCATATATATGACATATATATGTCAAACCAAAAAATAAAGTATATATTATAAATATATAAGAATATATATATTCTCCTTTATATATGTATTTTTCGGTCTCATATATATACACACACACACACATATATATATAAACTCCAGAAAAATACTTGGTTTGTGACAAAGATGCACTTATTTGCACGAACCTATCTCGTTAATGACCAAGAAATGTGCTTTGTTACAATCATTAGAGGACAGAAATATACATACATATTTAAATCTATGTAATGAAATGCAGGTTTATGTTAAAAAACCAATGACCTGCTAACTGAAAGAGTCGCACACTAATACTATGATTATTAAACACAATGCTCTTCTCTAAAGAAGTAAATAGGTGAAATGATATCAAAGTTCAAAATTCTCTAACTCTTCCACAAAGACTGTGAAAATCACCTTGGAGTGTATGAACCAGCGTCCTGGCCCCGCCAGGTCTGGGCTGGGGCGGGCGCGGGTCGGGAGCGCTTACCCCGCCGCAGGAGCGCTTCAGCGCCACCACCAGCTTCGCCTGGTTGTGGTGCGGCTGCTGCGCCAGCCGAAAGGCCTCCTTAATCCGCAGCAGTCTCTTTACGCTCCCGTGGCTCTGGGACTCTGTCTGGACAAGCCCTGTCGGCATTCAGCTACAGCCGACCCGCCCATCAATCCAGAGGCAGAGCTCTCCGCGGCGTCTCCTCAGGCTTCTTGTCAGAGGGCCCCAGGCCCCTAGGGAGTCGTTACCGCGCAGGCATTCAAATAACTCCCGCGAGAGGAGAAAATCCCGCGAGACTGCCGGCATTGAGTAGGGAAGTGGAAAAGTGGAGCCTGCACCGCCGGCTCTCTCGACTCCGGGACACCGCCCCGGTCTCACGCATGCGCAGAGGGCCTATCCACGTCTTTCTGGCTGGAATGTGGAATTTGTGAGGTAAGCCGGAAGTGGTGTTGCGCAGGGAATTGTGGGAAGAGTTGAGGTGTACCTCCGCTGCAGAGACGTGAGGTTTGCGGCGCTAGGCCCGGCCAGGTTGCTGCGTCGGGGCTGGAGGTGAGGCGAAAGAAGGACAACCTCTGATGGGAGAGGACTGGAGTCCGCTAAAGCGAAACATTCCAGGGTTCGTTGCGGGGAAATACAGTCTGGTTTTGCCCCCTGTATGAATTGAGGGAAGGTGAGAGCAGCACCTCTGATGGGAGAGGACTGGAGTCCGCTAAAGCGAAACATTCCAGGGTTCGTTGCGGGGAAATACAGTCTGGTTTTGCCCCCTGTATGAATTGAGGGAAGGTGAGAGCAGCACCTCTGATGGGAGAGGACTGGAGTCCGCTAAAGCGAAACATTCCAGGGTTCGTTGCGGGGAAATACAGTCTGGTTTTGCCCCCTGTATGAATTGAGGGAAGGTGAGAGCAGCAGCAATCCGGGCCTGAAGGGCGATTATGCTAGGGTCGGCCGAGGGGTTCAGGCCAAAGTTCTTTGAAATCCTAGTTGGGTACCTGGAGGACGAGAAAACCGGTCAGGAGTCTCCTGGAAGAGGGTCATATTTTAATCTAGCTAAAGCTGGTACCTGGCAGTTTCCACTCTTAAGTCCTAGTGTACTAACTAATGTGTGCGTAATATCAAAACAGGAAACAAAGGGAAATGCAAGAGATGGAAGGTAATTTCAAGTTAGTGGCTGTATGACAGTTTCGCAGTGCCTTCAGGAAGGTATCCAGCCTTATAAATCCTTTTTTAAAATAGACGATTTCAGACAGACAAAAGGTAGAAACGAAACTGTAATACATGTGTGCTCACCACTGAATTGGAGAAATAAATGATTATATTAAGTGATTGAAGTCCTTTGTCAGCTCTACCCCATCTCATTCTCTTCCCTTTCGCCCCAGGAAACCACTCTCCCAACCACCTTTATGCAATCAGTAATGTGTACATCTTTTTGCAGCTAGCTTGTTTTACATAATGTTTTTGAGATTTGTCAGTGTTGTATAACTCCACCTCATTCATCTTAATAGCTGAACAGATATTCTATTATTTTAATATGTCACTGTTAAGTATCTCCAGTGCCTGACATACTTTAGGACTGTAGGTAGCTAAATGTTAGTTGAATGTATGACTGCTGTAGCATTTGAACTAAGTAAAAAAGAATAAATAGGACTTCATGTGACCCAACAAGAGTATTCCAGGCAAAGGGAATAGTAGCCAAAAGCAGAGACATGAAAGTGCATGAACTATTTCAAGAATGTCCATACTTTTAGTACTGAAATGTGGAATGAATGGAGAGCATGTGATGAAGGAGAAACCTGGAAAGATGAGGCTTAACCTTAGAGGATATTATCCTGAAGAGCTTACACAAGCTCGGTGCCATTAAGTGCTTTTCCAGTTATGAAGAAGCTGATTAGAGCTGTATTTTCAGAAGATGATACTCACAGCACACTAGAGATATATCTTAGGATATAAAAGATTAGTGACAGGGAATTTTAGACTATCAAGCATTATAACAACAATCATTGCATTAAGCAAGTAAGACAACCAACCAGACTAAAAATCCTAAAACATTCTCCTAGTCCATCATATTATCACATTCCTAAACAATTATTAATATTTCATATTTTCTTCTGACAAACTTGCAACATTTTCTACTTGGGCCTCTTGCTTAGATGATACCTCGCATCCTATTCAGTTAAAAAAGAACTTCCCCATGCTTTCATCACCACATCTACGAGATCCATTCCGTAATATACTGCCACTGCTATTACTGTAGGTGAACTGTCTGATTTAGGAGGGAGAGTAAACCCTTTAAAAATAACTTTTTAATACAATAGTAACTGAACTAGTGTTATAAACTTTCAAGGGGGAATTGAAACATGAAAAGTAAGAATATGAAAGAATGGAATGGTTAAAAGACAATTGCTTCTAAGAGAATAATGATCCATATATAGAGTAATGTAAAAATAAGATACTCTTTTAATGTATGTTTCTTTTTTTCAGGTAGATTTAGGTTCTAAGCTTTAAAAGCTAAATCTAAATTTACATGTATGTTTTTATAGGATCTTTGTTTCTACTATTTCTTAACATAAACAGTTTATTATGAAATAGAATCTTCGACAATCCTATTTTAAATAATATGTTGTATTAGCCTTTGTCTTACATATTTCCAAATTGTCCAAATATAGTTGGATAACTTATTTGTTACTGACTGTGATAAAAATAGAATGTACATTGTACAGTTTACTACAGGTGTCATTAATTTTCTCATTCTTTCAAATACATTGAGTAACTACCATACAGCAAGCACTATTCTAGGAACAAGTAGATAAGATTTATTGGTGGAAAATCACTAACCTGAAACCAATCATATGACCATGTTAATGCACCTTGGTGTATGGGAAACTTTCAGCTACAAATATTTGATTACCTTAATTGTGATTCTTAAGGGAGGCTAAATAGATGGATAGCTGAATAAAGTTATTACTTGGAAATGTTGCCATGTAGCCACAGGAGCCAATTTCAGTGCACACATCTTAAGCATCAGTGTACACATTTATAGGTCTTTGGTGTTTTTGATGAGCAGAACCCACCTGGGTTATGGAATCACACTGGTGTACTTGATTGTGTTCGGGTATGAACATGCTCTGATTTACATTGAGTACTAATTGAGAATGTCTATTTAAATTAAAGTTCCAGAACTTATGGTTAGGCCAGAACCTCAGGTTTGAACTTCTCCCCTAAAATTCCTCTGGCTTCTCATTAAAGCTGCTTTCAGAGATATAAGTAAAGAAAGTCAAACAAAAGACTTTGTAGCACGTTTTGTTTAGCACATTTTGTTTAGCATGTTTTGTTTAGCACTGTTTTTCTTGAGCTATATATGATAGATATCTAGGGAGAGGTGGCAGAAGGACAAAATTGTAGTAGTTTGAGGTTTCTTGGGGGAAAGTTGAAGCATTAAAACATGTTAGCATCCTTACATGAACTTTTAACTATGGAAGGAAGAGTCAATATTCCCTTTCAGGCAGGTGTTTATCTGGTTTAGACTGCCTCAAGGCTGTATATTGCCCTTCAACTTTTCTTATGCATTAAAAAGAGATCTACATGCACTTGCCTTCAGCAGTGTAGTTCTGATCTAATATATTGATGACCACCCACTGTGCTGGGACATCCAAGACATATGTACCATAAACTCTTTAGTCCTGCTATTGTCCTTGGCAGAGGACATAAAACCTAATAAGAAAATCTTTGTCCCTTTCCAGCCAAGGTTAGGAATTTGTAACATGTCATCTTTCAAGGAAGCATCTAACCAAGATTAAGTCAAAGGCATCTACCAGGTCCTGAATTCTCTCCCAGATGCACACCTTTTAAGGTACAATCAGGTACCATGTGTAATAAATCTCTAGCTATTTAACCATCATTAAAGCATTTAGGACTTTGATTTCCTAGAAGAACTCATGGTCCGCAAAATAATTGTGTTAAAAGGTAAAAAACCTGATCAGGAAAAAGAGGTTTAGGGCCAAACTATACAACTTTGTAACTAGACCAATAACACAAAATAACAGTGTTTTTAAATGTACCCAGGATTTATTTTAATCAGATGTGGTAAGATATGCAGATGTGAAAATGATTATCATGAAAGAAGAAATTTTTATACTCCTGGATCCCTAGAAGCGGGAAGCATATAGCACCTTACACCATGCAAGGGTGCCATACCTAGAAGCAGCAGGGTCAGTGGGGAGAGGAAGTACAAGGAAGCTGCAGGAAAGCCTTTATTCGGTTTTCTTAGGAAGGAATGGGCAAAACTGGATAAGCAGGCTTGAACAGGTTTAAAATTGACTAGTTTAAATAATTTTGGCTGACTTGGGACATAGGGGATATCCCTAGTTGCCTGGTAGCTCGTCCTGGAATGATTAGGACAGGGCAATATTGGCCAAGAGTATAAGAACCCAAGATGTCTTGTGTTGGGGGTGGGGGGATTCTGGACTGGTTAGTTTGCATAGGAATTAGCTAACCCTGGGAGAGGTAGTACCTCTGTGGTCATCGAGGAACCACCTAGATACCAGATCATTAACAATACAAAGATAAGAAAATACAATTAATGTAAACAGTCATAATAAACATACAGTGTTAACACAGTTAAGACATGTTGAATTTTTAATAAATAAACACTACAGTAAATGTAAGACTGCACCCCTCCCAAAAAATTCGAGGTATTTTGATGGAAAACTATATAAGGAAAAGTTGAAACTACTGTTATGGTCATAAGACTGAAATATACTATGATCCAAGAGAGCAGTGCATCACTACCAAGGCAGGCATGACCAAGATAGGTGCAACCAAGCAAAAAGGAAGTATGTATGGCGAATAAGCTATAGTCCTTCATGGCTTGCGGTATTCTGTGTTGCTAATATACTTTCCAACTCCTGATGCCAACTTCTGGGTTTTACTGTTACTGTTTTTCTATTTACTAATCTCGAAGTGGTTTGCCTTACAGAAATAGGCCTAAGCCAATATAAGATAGTGATAAAGAGAGCTATA